CACAATCAATTGCTTTCGATGGGTAGAACACTTGAGCTTGCGATATGGTCATGTGATACAGGTCAGCGGAAACCCCAATTTACACCTGTTCAATCTGGTACCCAGAGTCTTCTGGCTTTTGTTCAGCGGGGCAACGGTCTGGATACGAGATTGACAACTTTTAATTGCGAACCATGATATGGCTGTTGAAGGTATGCTTCTCTAGCTTTTCGCACACTGTCTCTATTAGATTGAATGAGTTCTAGTGCATGGAATAAGTGTAATGTCGTTGGCGGAGTGACCATTAGCAAGAAAACGTCCTGCATGCGGTGGGTTAGGAGATATTAGATGTGTTGTGCAATGGTCTGTGGTGTTCGTTCGTTAGGAGTTATTACTATATATAATTATTATTATTATTCGGATTAGAGGTTTCCAGATTTTCTAACTCTTGATGAATGGTGAACGCACTTCAGCGAGGGTTGTTCTAACGGAATGTTATAACATTGGGAGCTGTTAGACTAGATAATTTATCTTACGTTATTCAAAACACCCACCATCTTGGATTTTAATCCTCTTGGAAACTCAGACACATTGTAAAAGTGAAGGAAATTAATATACTTTATGCACGAGGTCTAACAAGTGTTGAAATTAATCATTTCCTCACCTACTGAACTAACTGTTTTAGGTTTTGTGAGACCCTATAAAAAAGGCGCTTTTTGGGGTTAAGTAGAAACCGGTCAATTAAACTTAATATATGATATGAAAAAGTTACAAAATGGTAAGATGCGATCGAATCATTATATTCGGTTTGCAAAGTATGGCGAGGAAAATCTCCAGTTTGCTTATATATAAAACACCAAGAGATCATATAGAAAAGACTTATTGGATAGTAACGATTGCGTAAATACCTTGCACTGCCATATGGTGTTTTTCTAGTCAGATATGTTTCATATATTCAGTTTTAGTCACGTGAAAATTTTATTTGTAATCTGACATTTGCCTTTTACATTAAAACGAAAACTTTTTAGGTACAAGTGAAACGTACCCAGTAATTTTTCAGAAAATTTTTAGCAAAGTCATTATAAAAAAAATAGAGATAAAAGCTTAGAATTCTAAGTAAGCCTTACTTTTTTTCGATGAACCAATTGCTAGATATCAACGGAAAACTAGCCGCAACTGGAGTCACGAATAGCAGTTTTCATTTTCTGGTTACTTTCATCGGGAAAGGCCAACACAAGGCATGTTATAGCGCTCCTATTTGTAGATCAAGCAGTTGAACATGCTTATGAATAAACGTGCATAATTTTGATAGCAGCAAAAATCCTGTTCAGAAAATTGAAACTACGGAAAGTTTTTTCTTCCCCAGCTTTGCAACTACAATATCGTAAATGTACACGTCAGTAAAACGTCATTTATTAATTGAAGTACCTTCCTCAATCACTTCCACATCGATCCCGGACAAGTATAAGTAGAGGAACTACTACTACTACTATTCTGAAGTCTGTTTTAGAAATTCCATGCACGTGTGTGACTATTCAAATGAAACCTCTCCACTCATTCCACGGTAAGTGAGTAAATTACCATTTTTTGGTGTCCATGACAATTTTGGGGGACTCAAAAGGTTTTCCCATAATCATTTCGCTGAAAAATACTTAAAATATGCCCAAATAAATAGCGGCAGTACCCATTTGTACTCCTGTAGACAGTAACTTTGAGGGAATCAAGGCCAAAAGTGTCCAAAAAATGCAATTTTGGTATGTCCGCAGAGAGGGTATAGAATGTTACGGTATGTTTGTGCTTGTCGCCTTATACTATGGAAACTAATCAATCCAATGTCTCGAGAGGGACCTAAACTAAAGTCTCACATGATCATTTCTCACTGCAGGTCGGTTTTGTTGCTTTTAACTACAGTGAACTGGTGTCCGCTATTTTTATGAATCTTTCGTTACCGATCTGAGGGCAGATCTCAAATGGCCTCGAACTAAATATCGTGAATGATTTACATCGGGCAAATATTAATTAAGTTGCTCTTTTCCATACGCAATGCATAAAATGAAGAGCAAAAGCCTGTGGAAAGAAATTACATCTGACAATATAAAATTTACCGTGAACAGCTAAGTTTGTAACCTCCGTTACTAAGATTACCGTAGGAAAAAATGAAAAGTGAGTCGTGCTGATTTGTGTGGTGACGGAGGAACTAGTGAGGATTATTATGGAGTATGTTTGGTTTTTCCGTGTTATTAATTTCACTTAAAGATGTAAGAGAAAAGGTGGAATTTTAACTTCCGTTACCAAGAATTTTTTCCGGTCTCTCAAACATGGGATAAACGTCAGGTAAATTTGGGAAAATGCTGACACACGATTGGCCCATCAAACAACTCACGCCTTGATGACATCTGGTGAAGATTTCATAATGAGTAAGCCTCACACGTGTTCCATTAGTAAGACATCTCAGTCTCTGTCAAGTGTTATATGGGAATTTTAGCTGAGTTTGTGTTTCGCGGAGTTTTCTTGCATGGTTTTAAGAAGTTTAGTTTCCCGTAAAGCATTTCTAGGCAATTTAGGAATATAAGATGAATATGAGACATGCATTTTGATTATTTTATTTTATTTTTTGTAAAGTAACCGAGGTTACATGAAAACAGGAAGTTGATTACCTGACGCTGTTTTTTGCTAGTTCAACCAGCTTTTCTGTGAATGGACTTTACAATATTCATGTCAGTATTACCAATTCTTGTATGAATTCTTACATATTACCATGACGATGTGTATATCAATTGTTTGACTTTCAATTCAATTGATTTTGCTCATTTTGTTGTTTTTAGCCTGATCGTCCCACCCAAAGATTCCAGAAATTTCATCCAAAATTCTTTAGCATTAATTCAATTCAACAAGTTACATGCATTCAGTTGTTATTTAAGACGGTCTGTAATCCCAAAAGTGACTAGTTGGAAGAGAAATGAAATATTACCTTCCTTCTGTAACTTCCGTTACCGAAACTTATTTGATAATCACTCGTTTCCCACTAGATCACATGTTTGCAAACTATAATACAGGTAAACGACAATTTCTTTCCTACACATTTAGCGAAATAATGTTTAGTCTGACGGCTTTTTTAACGAAAAAACGATAAAAACAAAACAGCAATTATAAATTCTTAATATTTTGTTACGTCAGACCAAAGTACACCATGGCAGAACAACTTGACATTTAGTTCATTCCTTGAGCCACAGACTTGACTAAAATGAAAAACTCAGACCTTAGCCTGCACGGATTTCTGAGATAATTCATTTTAAACATTTTAGAGTAAACCAAATTGAAAAAAAAACCCCGTAGATATAGTGCAACACTGTGCTGTTTCAAGCCATACAAAATATCACACTCAGTATATGCTATTAAATAACAGGCTATAACTTTTTATAGATAAAAGATATGCTGACGAAATTTTGATTTCTTACCTTTGAACGATACATCGTTCAGTTAAACTAACTACTTAATGTCTGATCTGTGGACCTTCGATTTTTCGAAAATTCTTGGTACATTTTACGAGCTTGATGTGGAATGGGTGTCTTTCGCAGTATTTTTGTTTTGTTTAATTTAAATTTTTAGCCCTGTACACGTTACGTACAAGATCTTAAAGGGGTTAGCCTTTAGCCGTTAAACGGTCAAAAAAGTTTGGCGTTGGGCGCAACAAAGGGAAATTTTTAACCTTTAGTCTTTCAAATTCAACCGTAAAAATTTCTCCAGCCAGAATCACATGCAAAGAGTGTTAATATCGCTTGTGTTAGGACACGTGAATTGTTACCGAACCTTCCTGGCCAGAAAGGTCCTTAGAAGTCTAAACACGCTTGAACCACTTCATTCCTTTCCTTCAGATGCCTGTTAATCGTAACGGAAAGAAATTATCCGCTAGCCTTAACCTTAGAAAAGCCAAAATAATAATCATTAATTCCACCCCCCAATTGAGACCCTCAAAAAAGAGAGAAATTGGAAATTACCCTTAAATTTGCTCATTTGGCAATCTCAGGATAGGATATTTGATCTAGTACGTTACAAATCTACGCATCCGAGTTGTTGTTCACGATGTAGTGTTGAGAATTGACATCATGCAGACTTTGATTCTAGTTAAAGAATTGAAGGGAAACTGAATAAAAAGGGCGTGGAAATGTGAAATAAAAAAAAACAGCAAGAAAATGGGAATGAAGAGAAACAGAGAAATGTTGCCTCTATTTCGATTTATGGTCAGTCACCTTTTGTGTTCGCGAGTGAAAGCAAGCATAACTATCTAAAAAGACAACGCAAACCATGCAGGAATTTAACCGCTTGAATGACATGAGATTGTGACGCATTCCTTCATGGCTGGTGATTTAAAATGGTATATACGGAAATAACTCTTCAAAATGGCGTAGGTTGGTGTGAAAAACAACTTGAAATGGAAGGATACGGAAAATTATCACACGATCCAAGACAAATAAATAGTGGATCTGAGTGAAAATACATTTAGAGAAAGTTAAAAGACAGATTACTCTACTCCCCCGGAAGTGACAAAGAGCAATGTTCAGCCTCTTGCAAAAGGTATAGGGTTCTCCGATTTCATTTACTCGTTCTTCAACTGGGCGGGATTTTATTCACTTGATAAGCTTTTGTATCACAGTAATTGTAGTAATGAAGCTGAAATGCATGGTAAATTGATATCTTTTAGGTACGTTTTTAAAACTGGGTTATATATTTACACTTTACCTGAATTTTCCACCATCATCCGCAAAAGAAATAGTTGGAGATGATCTTGTGCAATAAGCCATCAGTTTATAGGAATTATGTTTTGTTAAAATCAATTCATGATGGAGTTTTAAAGTCGTATTTAAAAACTGCAGTTTCCTAAGAAATTGCAGCCTATCACAAAACTTATTATATAAGTCGTGCTCCATCACGTAGAAGACATCTGGGTAAATTGGCGTCAACTTTGGTTGATTGTTTTCTATTTGTTCAAGGTTTCCCTTGATTTCGTCGTTTTTATTTCAATGGCCTTGATATCAAGCAATCTTACTTACGTCCACGCAAAGCCTACAGATTCCTTGATACCACCAGGCACTTCCAGTTCAAGAAACATTACACAAATGCCAACGGAAAAAACTGGTCGAAATCCCCGCGCTATCAGTAGGAGGGTGCAATCCGCAGGACTCAAGGCTGAGCAAGCTACAAACAACCAAGGAGTATTGTTAACGGCTGGCGGTGCTGGATTTAACATAACGAGATTTCCCAGCAGCCTCAGTGACAACCCTTGCATAAAAAGATTTCGTGACATCTTTATTTACAATTATTTCTTCCCAATTCCAATTTGTAAAAAACATCAAGGTTGCTATGCTGTGAAGAAAATTGTGAACTTTGGAAAAGGCAGAACTTTTGCAATAACGACGAACTGCCAAAGAGTTACAATGTAAACATCTTCCTCAATTGCGCTAAGTATAGTATTCATGATTTCTGTATTAGTTCATGGACTACAGTGAAGTATTTATAAGGCAAATTGCCGTCCCTTGGACGGTTAGGCCGCCAAAGTATTCAACAATTTTCAACTTAATCTTATCACTAAGATGATTGCATAGAGAAATTAAATCCTTGATGAAAACGTAAGCCTGCAGTTAGTCGGTGTGTATATAAATTATCACTCGCTTTAAGTGCTTAAGTTACGTTACGTAACATTTGATAAACCAACCAGAGACTTATTGGCTCTTGTGGCTGAGCTATTCAAATAACGAAAACAATGTTTGCAAACATGAACCATGCGGCTACAACATTAATCTTTCTTTGGCTGCCCACTTTAATCCCCATGGAAATTGATAGGCGATATCAAAACTACTCAGCGGAACTCAGCTTACGACTTCTGCTTTTTCACGGAGGAGTTCATTCCATACCGTACACCACGTGCTGTGGTTATGAGAATAGTTGATAAACAATTTTCTGCTGCCATGGCCCAGCTTAGCAAAATGCGTTCGGCAAATACTAACTCGGTTCAATCTCCTTCTGTACAAAAATAAACAGTCGGTAAAAACACAGACCTGACAGCACGTTTCGCGGCAGGTGCAACGTATCATATCAATTACAACCAACCAGGAAAATCTCAAAAACAGTTGAATCAGTTTTCCTTCCTTTCATTGGCGACCCATTTCCTTTACTTCAAGAAGCAGCCAATATCAAAACTGCATCTGCACGCGAAGAAATAGAACGTTAACAGACGTTTAATTAGCCATTTTAACATATTCACAGACTACCGTCTTTTGCAGTCTGTGAGGACGCGCGAATCGCTGCTTTAGGCTTCGCCGGTAGCACTGTTGCATATCTCGCGGACTGTCACGCGTTCTCTGAGATTTTTTAACAAAAGAGAGACTGCTCCCAGTTTATTGTTGGTAAAGAAGAAATTAAAGATGTAATGCAATGAGATGGATAAACTTAGGCTTAAATGAAAAAAACAATATTTCCCTGGGCTGTTCCTTTGGTAGTATTTCCTTAGTCCCGATCCATTGTATAAAAAGGACCATCCTTGACTTTGTTCCATAGCGAGCTGTTGCCTTTGTTTTTGCACACCGTTTATGATAGTGTTCGCTGTCGTTATAAACGGTCTTGCTCGATAGTCACGTACTCTTTCATTGATCGCGATTAATAAGGTCACGCACATGAGAAGTGGTTGTACTTGCAAACCGCAGTGAAAACAGGAATTAACGGATATTCACTGATAGCTGGCATCACCAAATACTGACACGTGTACTTTTAAACTGTTTGCGATCAATAAGGTCACGCACTTAGTTTTAGTCTTTTTTGTTGGAAACTGATAGCGCGCTGTGGCTTTCATTTGCAAACCGCAGTGAAAACAAAACTTAACCCAATATAAAAGAAGATTTGATAGCGCTTGTTGATTGTTTTCTGTCCGGATAGTCGCTTTTTATTGTTCGTGACTTATCAGTTACAAAGGTCACCTGAAACGTGAATATTGAGAGACAAACAACAAACTCTATCAGCGATAAACCCGAGTTGAATTATGGTGAAGCTTATCTTAGCTTAAGCTTATCTTTGCGAGGCCCTTTTTGGTGGAAATAGAGGCCGGGCTTTGCTCATCACTGATCGGGCTCACTGTTTAGAAACAACACCAACAATGTTAAAAAAGCCAGAAACCTCTCATCTCTCCAATCTCTCCTTTGCGAAAACCATCATTGCCAGCAATTGACGACATTCTGCTGCCGAGGGAGAGTGGTTGAATTAAAACTTAATTATTAAACGAGATGTATTGTTCGTACATATTATAAGAGCTGATAAAGAAAATAAGAAAATTTTCCGTTGTGAAAAAGAATCAAAGGGAGAAAAGGTGATTTGAAAAAAAACATGCTCTTTTCCCAGTTCGTAATCTTTAGTTCGCAGTTCCCAGTCCAGATTTTCTTCCCAACTCAGCGGCCGAAAGGCCAGGTTACTCATCACAAATGGCGGCCGAAGTCATCATGAATGAAAATGGCATAAAAGCATCTAGCAACGATTTGTAACGTACAAACGGTGCTTTCTGGTCAATTTGGGTAAAAATCAGGATGCGATTTGTGCACTTTTCTATAGGATTTGGTCGAACCTGGGAAAACTTTGAGATGTGTATGTTTGTTCGCCTTGCAAGGAATCCGTTTCTTACGAGGTCTGCACCACGAAACCGACGTAAACAAGCTTTGCGAGAAGAAGGTAAGGTTCTCGTCTATTTTGTAGGAAAATGATGGAGTGAAGGATAGTTATGAAACAAATTTGACCGGTCGTGCATTGCTCCTTGTATTTAGAATGCTGCAATTCAGTAGTCGGCAAGGGTCAACTATTCAAGCGTGAAATGTTTAATTTCCCCTTTTTGATCCTTGCACGTTATTGTGATATCGGCTCCCATTTTTAAAGAACCGTTTATAATCGACCTTAACGCCTTTCTTTGCCGTCAAATTCTGGTAATGATCTCAATAACTTACAAAGGTAACAAAATTTACAGTGGAGACGGTGGGTCTAAAATACCGGTCATGTTCCACCGGCAGAGTACAGGTCACCATGCTGCAGACAAAAAATTAGAACCGAAGTGTCTCCAAGTCCTAGTCACTTTTTAAAATGTTATAGATTTGGTGGTTGGCAGTGAGTTCGCCCCATGTACAGCTGCATGTAAGGTAATCCGGATTCCAGATTCCAGAAAGTTTGTATTTGTGGATGCTGGAATCCTTGGCTTTGGAATCCGGAATACAAGTTCCAATGACAAAGTATGCGGAATCCAGTACCCGTAATCCACAATCCATGGCAAGGAATCCAAAAGATTCCCTTACATGGGGAGAGTGATCTACCAATAGATCATAATATGGAATGATAATATGATCTCTTGGATCTACTCATTTAAAGGAGCTGTGTCACGAAATGCAGCCAAATTAGGACATTACAAAATGCCCGTTGAATTGAGAGACACATAAAAATAACCGCTTAAAACTTTAAAAGAAGGTTAAAACAACATATATAACAGAAACAACAGATGCCACAGATTGGCAAAACCGAAGAAGATTGAAACGGATTGAAATTAGGGTTTTTGAACACTGTTCAGCCTAACAGTTTTTCAAAGTTGGTCCCTGCTGCTTGCAGCTTCAAAAATAATGCTCAGGAGGACATATTTGGTTGTCTCGGATCTCTGATTTTGTCGTTTACATGTAATTTCTTTGCTTACTTTAAGCTCCATAGCGATTGAGGGCGAGTAATTGGTAAAATTAAACAAAATGAACAGGACTGCCGTGACACAGCCCCTTTAAGTTTGCTAGTGTACACTGCGCCAAAACTGAGGTTTATCCGGTAAGTTCGTCAGTATCAGCGAATATTTAGGAAAACCACGTCCTTTCCTTTTTTGTCGGCGTTAGTTATGTACTATGTTCATCTTTCAACACAGTTAATGGTATGATTCCTTCGGATATATTGGAATTTTAAGATTTGTGGGTTACCCAGCAAATGTTTTTCTGAGTAATTCATACTGTAAATACCCTTAGTCAATACTCGTTAGTAATTCACTCAGTCTTACGGCCTTGTTAGGGATGACTGAACTGTCGTTTTCTCTACAGCATGCTGGATAAGACAGATCTGTATTTTTTCTGGAGTTCCTTTTTGCAGCCGTTTTGTTTCCTAAAAAGTGCATCAATAATAAAGTGCACTTCTTTAAAGTGCAAATAAATGTGCACTTTGTTACAACTAGCCTCTTCGTCGAAGTCGCAACTATCTCTATAATAAAACCACAACTAGAGATTAAAGTGGCGATCGCACTGCCCTTTCGATCACTCGTTCGATAACATCAGTCGTGTGATGAAGGTAATGAAATACACCAAAAAGTGTGCTGCGCGTTCAGAACTTTTGTTTTGCTTACTATTTGTAGACGTCAATTTCAGGCTATTTTGGCATCAAACGAGTTATGCACAGAACGGTTTTGATGAAGCAATATAGATATGAGCGGTTTTTGACTGTTTCCGTGGATATAGTCCGCGAAATGACGGCTTTGTGAAGGTTAGAGATGTTTAATTTGACGATGCTAATCTCCTCTTTTATTTTTTTAATCTTTTCTAATAAAAGGTGTTTTTT